TACTGTCATATTAAAAAAATTATAATACTCTCTCCGTCCCATTGAAAGGTTTCCATTTTCGTCCGTCTCAAAACAAGGTTACCATTTCCTAATTTAGTAATTGTACTACCTACTTCACATAATAAATACCCTTTCAACTTACAATATATTACACAAATGGCATTACTTTTATATTACAGCATACTAATAGGAGTATTTTTGTCTTTTTTACTACAATCTAATATAATACTAATATTTAAAAATCTACGTGCAAAAAACAAACGCCACTCTTGTTGCGGGACGGAGGGAGTAAAAGTAATCAAATATTAATATCAGAATATATTTTAATTTTATATAAATTACAAATATACCATTATAAATACAATTAATTTATAAATAACGTACAAAGAGTAAAAAAATATCAAAATTATCTTGTACATTTTAATTTAATAAATAAAATATTATTATTTTTAATTTACTGAAAAAAATATATTTTTAGTTAAGATGAATAAACTAATATTTCTATTATCATTAGTTTAAATAAATTAATCAATATTATATACACGTTGCTTTCTTTTCTAACTCAGATATCAATGTCATTTTTATTTATTTCGATTTTTTATTATTTATTTTGTTCGTCTTCCATTTTATTGTCTTGTAATATTTTTTATTGTAGAATCTATTCACAGATTCATAAAATTAATTATAATTTATTTGTAAAATAGTTCTTATTATTAATTTTTTAAAATACAATAACTAATAATATTTAAAATCAAGAATTTTTTATATTTGTTATTTATTTTATAATATTTATTATTTGAATTCTAAAATAAAACTATTTTCAACTATTTTTAAATATTAATTACGAAAATATTTATAATATTAATATTTTTTAAAAATCCGTGGGCTACCCCGCTTAGCTCGTCACCCGCTTGTGAGTTGAGTTGGGTTGATGAAATTTTGATCCACTTCGCAGTGAGTTGGTCTGCAAACAATCCACTTATTTGCGGATTATGGTGGATTGTGGGCTAATCCGCCCCACTAACCTGTTTTGACAGGTCTAGTGCTATTCATACATTCAACCTCATTTATGGAGTTACAAATCAAGTTGGGTTAGAGCCCAAACTCCCCAAAATCATCGTAAATGCAGTAGGTTGAAAATGCTCTTATCGACTCTAATTAAAAATAGATTGTTCAAATAATCATATAAATTGTTTAAACAATCATTTATCATACATGTATATTATTATAATTTTTTAAGTATATTTTTTTTATATATAAATATTATTTTATTGGACTTCAATAAAATATTTTGTAGTTTCGATTTGGTTTCGGTGCATGATAGATTTCGTCAAGTTTAGCATTCACCGAACCCAAGCGTAAACCCGCGACCACGATCAAGACTTTTGAGCCGGAGATAAAATTCATGCTCGGGTGTCCGGGTGGATTGAACTTTTAATAATCATTATATAACTCAGATGCATTTCAACTCACCAAACAATCGATTTCGAAAATTATAAATTTAATTCAAAATTAAATTTTATATATCGCTTATATAATTAATCAATTTTCCAATAAATTGACCATATTTTTTTACTATTTGAGTAAACTATGCATATCTTTATCCTGCTATTAATAGCTAGAAAAAAAGTTGATAATTGCGAAAATTTATCGTAAATTTTAATCCGTGACAATTAAAAGTCACAGAAAGTAATTTCGTGACAAATTTATATCACAACTTTTTGCTTTAACTATTCCGTAAGTAATATTTGCAGAAAAAGTTACAAATAACTTTCCGTGACTATTTAAAGTAACGGCTTATGTAACGACAATGTCTAAGATATTTCTATTCCGTATCTTTTGACTATTTCGTCACAAAAATTGTCACGAAATTTTTTCTTAACTATTTTAAGTTGCGGCAAAAATAACCAAAATATTTCCAATATTTTAAATTATTACAGATATTGTCATAATATAATTTTTGTAACTTTTTAAAATCAAATGTCACAACATAAGTAACGAAAACAACTATAAATTTTTCTTATTATTGTTGGTGGCTATAATATTATTGGGGTTCTAGAATTAACTTCGATTCTTTTAACTATAATTCTAATAATAACAAATTAAGAGTCAAATGTACAATATAAAATGTGTCAAAACCTAGATTTATCGTAAAGCTAAAATAAAAATAATAAAAAAAAATAAAAAGTCTTTGTGTTCTCCAATCTCAATAAATTATCTAGAAAAAATTGCAATTTTTGTCATTTTAAAAGTATTTTTATAATTTTGGTCATTTACGTAATGTATGACAATCTTGCTCTAATGGTCTTATATTAATAGCATCATTGTCAACCTCCATGTGTTAATTTATGAATTGTCACTTGTATATATAAAAATCATTAAAATGATGATAATAAGTATATAATATTGGATTGGGTCGACTCAACACGGATTTGTTTTTGGATATTTTCCAAAAGGTTTCGAGGGCGAGCCCACCACCACAACTAACCCAGTCCACTTCACCATCTAACTGGACTCTGATAACACTGTTGAGACTAGGTCAACTCTATTGTCCGCTTTGGGCTAAGCTCGCACGGATTTGTTTTTGGATATTGTCCAAGAGGCCTCTTATTAGTGGAGTTCATTTGAGACTTATAAAATGTATAATTTTCTTCACAACTTCCAATGTGAAACTTGGATTTGCACTCCAATATATAAGATATAAATTTATTTCCATTTCATTTATTAACCAAAATAATTCTTCCTCTAGGTACAATATTCATCTATTTTTTCTAGCGTGAAATGCCAATTTTTTATTTTTTTTACATAATTCTTTTTTTTTAATCCACTTATATAATTTTAAAAAATATTCTAAACAAAAACTAAAAATAATGTAGATAAAAAAAACCTAACATCCTAAATTTCACAAGTAAGAGTAACAAATAATTTTTAAAAAATTATGAGAGCTTTTATATAAATATACATATATATATTCTCTCGGTCCGCCGTTATGTAATTTTTTTAAGAAAAAAATGTATGCAAAATTATTCCCCTATAATTTTATTATTTTTGTTTTAATACATAATAACTAATTTGTTTCTATTTTTTTCTATTTATTACAATATCTATTTATTAATCTTTTAATAAATTTTCTATTATACTCTCAAATTAATTTTTATCTATCTTATTTTAATATTACAATATATTTATTTTTTTATTTTTTATATCCAACCAAACTTACATAATTTACGGGGGAGAGAAAACATATTTTACCAACATTTGGTTTAGTAAAAAAAATCATAATAGTCTGTCGGATCTAGTTTACAGGATATTAGATTAGACCGAGAGTTTATCGAGTGCACAATTTTGAATATCGGATAACGCCCTTAGGTTCCCTCAGAAAAAAAAAAAAAAAAAAAAAAAAAAAAAAAAAAAATCACAATAGTCAACGATATAATCCCCACTAAATTTGCAAAGTTTAATGCAACCACGTGCATAGTCTTGCTCTTCTTCTTTTTTTTTTTTTTTTTATCTTTTATTTTCTCACTTATTATTATTATTATTATTTACTTCGACCATGCTTATTTTGTACTTAACTAATAATAATAATAAGAAGAAAATGATCATATTGTTAAAGAAAGTTGCATGGTTTTAGTCAACAAAATATTTTATTATGTAAAATAATCATTTTATCACATGCATTTTTTCTTATATGATTATGCAACATTATTAAATAATATTGGGTCTATTTTTTTTAGTTCTACTTTTATCTTATTCGTAAAATCTTTTCCTCAAAAACTAATGATCAAATTAAATACTTTATTTCTATTTAATATATTAATTACATACATATATAATGTATCACATTGTATTTTATGTTAAAGAAGACTGTGATTAATGTGATTATTAGGAAATACATGCCATGATTGATTTCACTATAATAATACATGATAATATAAATTGACAATACATATTACTCTTAAAATATATAATTATATTAAAATAAAAAAATATTTAGTAAACTAATCATATAATCTAATTCTCACTGTACATGCTATTTAAATTTCAATCAGATATTGAAAAATATTTGTTTATATACTAATTAATTGAAATTAGCACCCTAGCCACTCATTTTAAATAATAAAAAAAACCATTATACTATTTCCGTCCCACATAAAACGTTAATTTTTTTTTTTTTTTTTCGTCCGTTTCATATAAAATGTCAATTTTTTCTATTTTCGTCTGTCTCACATAAAATGTCAATTTTTTTCTATTTTCGTCGGTCCTACAGAATTTGTCTTTTTTTTTTAAAAAAAAATGATTACTACAAAAAATAATAATATATTTGTAACGGAATTCCGTCCCTTAAGTTCACGTACCTAATGTAATTTCATCCCTACTTCCGTCTCTAATATCATTAGTAACAAAAAAAAAAATAGATTTAAGAACGAAAAAATTTCGTCACGAAATTGATATTTTCTTGTAATGCATACTAATTACATTTTAAATTTCATAATCTATAGTTTTTTTAATTTTAATTAAATTATCTAATCATCTTCATCTTAATCTAGAATTATTTTTATTATACAATAGCTACTTTTAATAATATACTTCTTATTTAATTTACTCATTAATTATATTTGTTTATAAATTCTTATCTCTACAGTGAAATAGACAAATTTTCTGGAATGAAGGAAATGTTATTTTTATTGAATCACTACAAGAAAAAATTATTTTTATAACAAATTTTTTTTTCTCTAAGTTTACTTTTTCCGTTACTAATGACATTAGAGACGGAATTAGGAATGAAATTACATTAGCTATGTGAACTTTAGGGATAGAATTCTATTACAAATATATTAATTCTTTGTAGTGAATGCATAAAGATACATCGAATGCGTAAAGAAACACCAAAAAATTACATCGAAAGTATGCCAAAAAAATATGTACAAATCACTTAACATACAATCCAACTCGAAATTCCCAAATCTCATTGTATAAATTGAGATGTCCAATCCACACAAACTCCACACTCACCACATATCACCAAACAAAGAAAAACCCTAGAGATTCCGATAAAAAAAAAAAAAGAAAAACCCTAGAGATTCTCCAAACTAAACCCTAAAAAAATGATGAACACCAAGAAAGCATGGCTGGCAATGTGTGCAATTGCTCTAATAATAATTAGCGGCGAAGTGGCGAGCAGCGACGCAGCGACTTGCAGCATTCTGCAGCTGCTGCCGTGCAAGGCGGCGCTCTTCTCAACAGCCAAGCCCACCACTAAGTGCTGCACGACGATAAAGCAGCAGGTGGCTAATAAGTGCGTTTGCAAGTACCTCAAGAACCCAAGCTTCAAAAAATACGCCGCCAAAGCCAAGACGATCTTCAGCGCGTGCAAAATCAAAATCCCGAAGTGCTGATTTACGATCGTTTGATTTAGTATTATCACGAATGCTTCATCCTTTGTTACTCCTTCTTCTAATTTAAGGATGATGAATAAATAACCTTCAATCCCTTGGGGGTTTTAGATTTGATTTGAATTTTATGTTTTATGGTGTTGTATGTCTTGTTTGTTCATCTATCTTTCTAATTTTATTAAATTTGCTAAGAGGATTAATTAATAGGGTTTGTTGTTTGTGTTTTCACATCTACTTTGACATCGATATCGTTATTTCCTAGTTGTTGGGGACTCTCACTTACGGATGAATATATTAATGATACATTTCCCTAATAGCTTAAACTTTTAGGTGAAACGGTTATTTTAAACATCCGACAACTATACAAACAAAACAATACATTGAAAATATATATTTTCTATTCATGATTATCATTTTGAAATTCAAAACACAAACATACTCTAAAGGACTATTACTACTAATAATAATTTTTGGTTAACTTCCGTATCTAGATAAATAAATTAATGAAATGTGTTTCTAATAATTCAAACTTTTAAATGAGACAATCATAAAATCATCTAATATGATATCAGAGTTGTAGGTCTCGAGTTTGAGTCTCATCATCCTTATCTAATGGACAAATAAATATAATTTCTTGGAAAATAAGAGATTTACTCTGTCGGAAAAAATGCACAATAGTGTTATGAACTATACAATAAAAAATCGCAACAATTATCAAATGGTAAATTTGTAATAATAACAATTCAATGTCAAAGTAATTAATATGAATTAATACAAAGTAGAAAATGACACATGTGTTTGTTAACCTTAGTTATAAATAAATTTATCACCAGCTTTTGGAACTTAAAAATTGTTCAAGGGATCCGGGTGCTGTCGAATCTCGTCCAGTTTGGATCCATCTCGGGTTCTATATCCTTATACATATCAAGTTCGAATTCATGTTCAGATTAATGTATAAATTCCACCAATACTTTAAAAAATACGGCAATTAAATTTGAAATAATGGGCCATCTTAATTTAAATACAAAACTCATCTAATTAAGAATAAAATTATAATGCCAAAGAGATGTATTAAACATCTAATACTCCCTCTGTCCCATATATTTTGGGTACATAGGTACCAAAATTTAGGTAAAATATAATTAGTAAGTAATTAATAAGTGTATTAGTAAAAATAATTATTGTATGATAAAAATATTTATAAATTAAGATTAAGAAAACTAAATAGTTTAATTAAAATTAATAAAAAAATTATATATATATGAAATTTAAATATGATTAAAGCGTATAATTATTTTTTTTTTAAAAAAAAATACAAATTACGTGGAACGGACGAAAATAAAAAATATAAACAAATTATGTGGGATGGAGACTATTATATATCGACTATAATATTATATAAATATATTAATAGATAATCCGAATCGGATTTATTTCGGATCAAAACTAGACATACCCAATCTAAATCATGTAAAACGGATCTGGGTCAGGACTCGATCGATCGGATCCAAACAAGATTCCAGATCCAGGAAATTATTTAATAAATATTTGTATTAAATACTCATGATTAAATATATGTTAAATTAATAAAGCTATAATTAACAAAACTAATAAATATTTTACAAAATTGCAATTGAGGAACCTCAGTGTAAAAATAAGTTAGCTATGAAAAAAAGACTTGAAACTATGGATATATTTTATATTTTCATTAACTAACTATTCAAAAAAAAAAATCATATTATTATTTAAAAACTTTTAATAGATAAATTTAATTAAGAAATTAAAACATAAATTATTATTGAGAAAAAAATATACTATAATAAGTGATTAAGAAAAAATATTATACTCCATTCCTCCCGTAAAATTATATTCTCTCCGTCCATTTTCTAATGTATTAAGTGATATTTACACGCTTTTTTAGGTAATTAGTTTTTTGGTTGTAAATTGACAAAATAATCCTTTATTTTGTATATAGATATAAAAAAATAAATAAAGTAAGGATAAAAAAGTAAATTTTATGTATAAAAATAGAAAGAGTTAAATCATTTTTGGACATTTCAAATAAAAAAATAGAATATTAGTTTATAGACGGGGGAGTATAAGTTTGGTTGGACATGAAAGACTAAAAAATAATTACATTTTAATATTAAGTTGAGATAGGTAAAATTTAGTCAATGAGTGATAAAAATATATTTGATAAATAGAAAAAGTAGTGTTAAATTATTTATCATTTGTTGAAGTAAAAACAATATAATTGTGGATGAATAAAATCGCTTACTATTAATAGATTGTGCATAAATTTGGACAAATTAACAAAAAAGAAGAGTGACATAATTTGGCACACAAAAAAAATACTCCCTCCGTCCCACATATTGTGTTTGCTATACTGTAGCCACGGTATTTTATGAGGGGTGTAATTAGTAGATAATTAAGAATGCATTAGTTAAAATAATTATCTTATAATATAAATAATTATAAATTAAGATTAAGATAACTAATTAATTTAATTAAAATTTTAAAAAAATTAAAGTTTAAAATGAGATTAAAGTGTGTAATCATTTTCCAAAAAAGGAAAGTGACATGGTATGTGAGACGGACAGAAACGGCAACGTGGACATAGTATGTGGGACGGAGAGAGTAATATTTAATGTGATCTAAGCAGGTATTTGATGCACCATCCGTGCATTTGCAAAGTATAAATTTTTTATTTTAAGTTGTACAATTACAATCTAATCATTTTTTTTAATAACTATGAATTTTACTTTTTTTTTTTTTGTATAAATACCTCTGTTTTATCATCGTATTATTATTTTTACACAAAAAAATAAAAAAAGTAAAATTATTTTTGCGCTAGCATTATTTTTTAAACTCTATATAAAAAACAAATATATACTTTTAAATGGTCGGAGGGAGTATGATATTTTAAATAAAAAATATTTTTTATATAATATGTTAAATAAAACATAAATATTAAATTTATTATTTTTAGAGAAAAATTTCTTCCCAATAGTACAGATCAAAATCAAACCTTAAAATACTACTCATAATAGTATTTTAACAGTTTTATTTATTTATTTATGAAATCATTTACGAACTTTCAATTTGTAATAGTTTTTATTCATCCAATAGATTTTTTTTTGACATTATGTTTCTTTAACAAAAATTTTTCAAATTTTATTATTTGAATTCTAAGTTTTTTTTTTTTTTTTTTTTATCTCTCACAAAATATCACATCAAATACTCTCTTTGTCCCATAACAAAGGAGTAAATTGCAAAAAATATCTCACACTTATACCCTATTATCACTTTTGTCCTGTATTTATCTCCCTGGCAAAATATATCCCACATATTTACAAAAGTCGTTATTTATGTCATTTTCTCGCACGTGAAATTCACACCACGCGCCCTTACGCGCAATCACGCGCGGCCACGCGCGGTCAAATGATAGAAATAGTGACTTTTGAAAACATGTAGGATATATTTTGCTAAAAAGATAAATACAGGACAAAAGTGATAATGAAGTATACGTGTGAGATACTTTTTGCAATTTTCCCCATAACAAAGTATTCATTTCATTTTTTTAGTAATTGTACTATTTATCAAACACTACAAATACCCTTACAACTTACAATATATTACACAAATGTCATTATCTTTATATCACACAATACTAATAATGTTATTTTAGTCATTTCTACTTTATTCCTACTATATATTAATATACCTTAAACTACGTAAAAAAAATGAATATTTACTTATGGAACGAAAGGATTATTATTTTAATATCAAATTTAAACCAATTTTTCTCAAACTTAACCAAACGAAATAATGTTGATGAATATTATATACATTCATACAATTTATATAATATGCATATACAAATTATATATTATATTCACTCGCATAAAATTAATAATTTAATATAAAATATTATTTTTTTATATTATTAATACACTTTTTTTATATTTGATATAAAAATATATTTATCTAAAAACAAAAAATAGAGAATGTATTAGATTTTACGAGATTTTTGTTATTAATTATTGAAAATCATAAAAATATTTCGAACAATTATGAAATTGCTTGGAGTGGAGTAGTTTCAATTGATTTTTTTAAACAGTTTATTAGAGAAAAATAGTAAAAAGAAATAATTATCTATAAATATTATACAAAAAAATACAATACTCATGCATATTAAAACTGTATATATAATATATATATTTTATTCACTTAAAAAATATAATAATTTAATATAAAATATTATTTTTTTTATATTACTAATATAATTTTATGAATCTTCTATACAAAATATATTTATCTAAAAATACAAAAATGAATAATTAAAGTAATGGGTGATCATAGTTATTTTGTACTATTCTCACTTAATTTATCTCATTTTTCTATTTTCATCATTTTCATATATTTTATCATTTTTTTTAAATATAATTATACACTTTAATCATATTTTAAAATTTATAATTTATAATTTTTTTATTTTAATTAAATTTATCTTAATCTTCGTATATAATTATTTTATTAATATATTTTTTTAATATTTACTAATTAAACAATACCTAAAATTTTGTGTCTAAATTAAATGAAACAATTTAGCTGGGATGTACAGAGCATTTTATTTTGAATATTAAGGTCAATTAAAAACAACAAATTGGATCTAGAAAATCACATGGTAAGATTCTTTTTTTATTAATTTATTAATGAAATGTAGATTTGAAGTGATCTTATAACCGGATTTCAATGCATTATAGCTACTCTTATCTTTTCGTGCATCCAAAATTGGGTCAAAGTTGTCGGCGATGGCCGTGGTGTAGGGGTTTGGCGTGTGATCGTGAAATCACGGGTTCAAACTCCCGATGTCTCAAGTCACTTGCCACACATAGTTCGTCTAATGTGTCTTGTGCGTATTTTCGGATAACGACTGCAAATTCCCACGTTATAGAAAAAATAATAGTAATATTCTGTATTAAATATTAATTTTTTATAAGTAAAAATAAAATATATATTATGTATATTGTATACATGTGTGTAAATAATGACTCTATTCTTCAAACATTATTTTTTAAATTTTGATTCTAAAGAATAATACTAAAAAGTAAAAAGTACTTTTAAAAAATTATATTTAAATAATCGTTACAAAAGTAAGATATATAATTTAAAATAATATATTTTATATTTTTTATACAATTTTTATTACCACTATAAAAATAGATTAATTTAAAATTATTGAATAAACGGAGTCAATATATTTTTCATAATATTCACCCCTCAATAAATTATTGGGTGAAGTTTTCCAAATACTCGTTTTATCCCATAACAAAGTATCTATTTCTCTATTTTAGTCCGTCCCATAACAAAGTATCCATTTTTTTTTTCAAGTAACTGTATTGTCTACCTTACATTACAAATACCTTTACAACTTATAATATATTACACAAATGTCATTACCTTTATATTACACATACTAATAAAATTATTTTAGTCATTTCTACTTTATTTCTACTATATTCCAATATAATACTAATATTTTTAAAACTACATGCAAAAAAGCAAATAAATTTTTAGTTATGGGACGGAGAGAGTATATAATTTTAGTACTACTAGCCAACTAGATATGTAACATGTCTTCATCTAATAAATTCTCACGAAATTTGAGATTCAATAAAATAAAAAGTAAGTATCAAGTGTAAACAATTCGAAAAAAAAAAACTGTAAACAAAATTACTAAATTCTTAAAATTAAAAAGTACACCAAAGTAATTAATTAAAAAAAACTGTAAACAAAATTACTAAATTCTTAAAATTAAAAAGTACACCAAAGTAATTAATTACTTTTTTTTTTTTTTTTTTTTTGTCCATTTGGTAAATATACGGTTTGTCATTTTTAGTTGTTTAAATAAAATGTATAATATATATTTATTTCTTTTTTTACTAAATATGAACCACTAAATAAAATACTTTTTTTTTTCTTTTTGATAATGTAAAAATCCGCAGCCGCTATCCGAAATTGCACACCGGTAAACTCTCGGTCGAACCTAATACCCTGCAAACCAGGCCCGACAGGAAAGTCACACTAGACGAACTAGGTGTGGAGATTTGAACCCATGATCTCACGGTCACAAGTCCAACTCCTACACCACCAACCCTTACGGAACACAAAGTTAAAATACTCTTTACATACCAAACCATTACTGATTATAATTAAAATACAATATTTATTAAACTTCTTACAAAAAATAAATAATAGTCTTTCCATCCTATTTATCATGTCCATATTTTCATTTTCATTTGTCTAATTTATTCCGTCACTTTTTTTTTTGAAAAAATTATACATTTTAATTTTATTTTAAAATTTTTAATTTATAATTATTTAAATTTTAATTAAACTAATTAGTTATCTCAGTCTTAATTTTAATTTAAAATTATTTTTATTATTCGATAATTATTTACTTATTATAACTCTTTTTAATTATCGTGTTTACAGTAAAAAAACCACCGTAGTCGGGACGAATGGAGTAATTACTTAAACAAAATTTCACTACAAGAAAATATCATTTTTGTAACGAAATATTTTCGTCACTAAATCTATTTTTTTTATTACTAATGACATTAGAGACGAAATTATTGATGAAATTATGTTAGCTACGTGAACTTTAGAAACGAAATTTCGTTACAAATATACTATTATTTTTGTAGTGTAGGGTCTCTTTCATTCCATGGAGTACTTCTATAAATTGGCTCTTCACCTATTCACAATTATCTACTATCATCATCTTCATCTCTAATCTCAATCTCGAAAATTAATTAAACGCCGATAGTTCGATCGAGAAATTAATCAAAATGAAGAGCAAAAAGAGCGTATCGGCATTGTATGCCGCCGCGATACTGATTTTGCTCGTGGCGAACAATGTCCAAGTGGCCATTGGCGCCGGTTGCAACGTGCTGGTGCTGCTGCCATGTCAAAAATCGCTCAACTCCGCGGCGGGTACCGATCCCGAACAAAAATGCTGCAATGTCCTAAATCAGAGTCTGATCGATAGCTGCTATTGCACGTACTACCCCTTCATTGGGTCCCACATCGACAGAGCCAAAGAGATCCTCACCAAATGCAAACTCAAAGTCCCTACCCAAAAATGCTAGCTTAATTAGCTACCTCATTAGATAAATAAATAATTAATTAAATATATATGTGCTGGTAGCTGTTCCTTTTTCCATTTCTTTTGGGATGAATAAAATGACCCTTTAGTTTTGGGGTTTGCTTAATTACTTCTGTGTCTTGTTTGGTTTAGCTTTTAATTATTTTTAATTAGTATAAAATTATGTCGACAATTTACATTTTGCAGAAAATTTAATAATTATTAGTGATAATTTTTGTGCATAAAAACTATTTTATCTTACAATGGGTAAAGTTAATATAAAAATATTGATATAAATAAATATAAATATAAGTATATTTGTAATATGTAATGAAATTCATATATACTAAAAAAAATAAAATAATACTTGATGTTTGAATAACAAAAATAAGTATAATATAGATTTACCAAGCAGACGAAAAGAACATTTTAATGTAAAAATGGGAGTATTATTGAAAATTTATTAAAGAGTTCATAAAATAACAACAATAATAATAATAACAATAATAGTGGGGTGAGTAGAAAAATTAGTAACAAATTAGTTATTATTTGTTAAAGTAGAGATAATGAAATTATGAGCGGATAAAAATATTTACTATAAATACATTATGCGTAAGTTTAACATACAATTAGAATTAGTATGAAAAAATAATATTATATGATTTAGTATAATTTTTGACATTATAATTTCTTATAAAATAAATTATTTTTATATTTAAATTGGAAAATTCATTAAAATTTAATTTCCAGATTTTTACAATTATTAGTGGAATTTACACATTGACTTAAACTTGAATTCGAAGTTGATATGAAGAAGAATATTGGACTTGAGATCGGATCCAAATCAATACAAATAGACATAAAATAACTTTTTTATAAACAAAAGTAAAAAGCTAAACAACTAATTCAAACGGGACCTAAGTTCGAAGGAAGCTACTAAGAACTATAGAACGTTATAGAATTTCTTCACCATAGAGGGGATGGAAGAACTATACAATCAACTTTTACTCATTTGATAATATTTATGTTTTAAAAAATATCACATTAAGTATATATTTTCTTTCATGAAATATCAAATAAAAAATACTAATTTTTTTATATTTTTTAAAAAATTTTAAAATTTCAAAAATTTTCAAAAATCTCTGTCTAAACGGAAAGAGTCTTCCTTGATTATCTTGTTGGGTTTGAATAAATGAATTGAGGTTATGAATGAATCTACAACATTGTTGATTTTTTCATCGAGCTATTGTTCAAGCTCTAATAGTTTTCAATATTAACTAAAATTATGTATAGATTTTTCTTTGTTGTCGTTATATATATTGCTTGTTAATTTTGTATTATATTCCAAAATAAGTAATGGTAATTTTTTCACTTAAAGACGTCAAATTAAATAATTATTTCAATTTAAAATATAATTATTAAATCAAAAGTTAGTTCTGTTTGAGTTTGTGTAACAACCTTTTGACTTTATGTTATTATAATATTTTTATGTGATGTTTGTAAAACAAAATAATATAATATAATATTTTTTCAGTTTCACAACAATAATAGTCTCTTTTTGTTATTTTGGTCCGTTCTAAAATAACAGTCTCATTTTTATATTTGGTAATTAGGTCTCTACTTTTTTACAAAATTATTCCTACTTTTTTCATAATAATTACATAAAATAGGAGTATTTTGGTCTTTTAAAAATATTTTTACTTAATCTATCAATATAATACTATTATTTTTTTAATTCTCATGTCCAATACAAATGTCTCTATTATTTTGGGACGAATGAAGTATTTTTTTGGTTATTGAGATCAATCAAAACCTATTAATTATTATATCAAAACGTAATATAAATAAAGAGAAAATGACAAAAATACATCTCTTATAATATAAATACAATGATATTTTTGGAGTAAATTATACAAATATAAGGATATTTTTAATGTTAAGTAAAAATGCAAAAACATGTGTTTACTTCCTTGGTGGACGGAGGTAGTATTTATTTATTTTTAATCCCCGTCTCGTATCCAAATGTTCTAAGGGTGTGTTTGTTTGGGGGATTGGATTTTAAATCCACTATTCATCCCATTCCCCCCCTCTCCCCCAAAACATCGTATTAAACACCTATTTTTCATTTTTTATATTATACTAAAAATCAATTTTATATTCAAAACATTACATTAACAACTATTTATATCACGTCATACAACTATTCAAATTCAAAATTTTTATTATTTAAATCCCAACTCAAAATCCAAACGCCCAAACATACACACCATAAATTTACAGGATAGAGAGAGTAATACCGTACATACACACACAACACAAGTAAGCAAAACCCAAACCAAAAGGTTCTTTTATTCATCCCAAACTAAACTAAAAGATACAACATCAGAAAACAGACATACCAAATCCACACACACACATATATATATATATATATGAATTAAAGATCAGCAAGTTTTGGGGACACTGCGTTTGCAGTCGACAAGGATCTCGTTGGCTCTATTGATGTAGGGCTTAATGATGGGGTTGTTGTTGTACTTGCAATAGCAACTATCTACAAGCTGCTGGGTTAAGGCAATGCAGCATTTACTGTCGGCTTTCGTACCCGGCGAGAAGAGCGCCGTCTTGCACGGCATCAGTGCCTGCACGTCGCAATTCGGCGCGCCATCGGCCACTTGGACATTATTGATGTGTGCCGCAAGCAATATTAGTATCGCAGCTGCGGCATGCATTGTCGATAAGCTCTTGATGCTCTTCATCTTAATTACTTATTAATTTATCGATCGATCTAGATTTAAATTGAGATTGAGATTGGGAAGATGATAGGAAGTGAATGTACATGTGAAAGAAGAGCCGATTTATAGAAGTCCATGGAATTAGTATTTTATTAGCGTGTGGATATGTGTAAAATGATTTTGATTTTTTTATCCTTTATATATACATAGATAACGTGGAAACCTGCAATTGCTGCTCGATTAGTGCGCTTTAGGTAAATCCCGATTAAACCTAATTGCCTATAAGCTAGGTTGATTGCCTTTCTATATATATATATATATATATAATTGGATTCCGACCAATCACCATCTGCCATGTGTATGTAAATTTAATAAAATAAAAAATTTAAAACAAAAAAATTAATAAAATAAAAAATTTAAATACACATGTCGGATGGTGATTGATCGATATAGAAAGGGCACAATACATTGGGAGTAGAATAACTAAACATATGTATAATAATATATTTGTAATTTATGTAAAAATTAAGAATATTTTAATATTAATATTTAATTATTTTTATTATAATAGAAAATAAATATTTTTAACTACGCAACATACAAATATAATAAAAAAAGTATGGAACAAAAGTAATTTTTACTTGGGTGATTTAAATTTGTTAATTTTGTATACCTAGTTGGCTAGTTGTACGTAAATTATTGGGAAAATTATACAACCACTGCAAAAAAATAATATATTTGTAACGGAATTCCGTCCCTAAAGTTCACGTAGCTAACGTAATTTCATTCCTGATTCCGTCTCTAATGTCATTAGTAACGGAAAAAATAGATTTAAAGACAAAAAAATAATTTTTTCTTGTAGTAAACACCCTCTCGTGTTTAGTGAAAATGCACAAAATATTTTTTTTATTTTATTTATTATGTGAAACTTTAATGTAAAATCTGCACAGAACACCCTCCTTGTTTAAACTAATATTTAATTGTAAATATGAACATAATTATGCAAATTTTATGCAAATAAAAGAGGTAAATATATTCATTAGTCATTTTTCAATATAATAAATAAGTAAATAATCGATTAATCATCCATTTTTGTAGTTTTTTTAAGATAATTTGTTATTCAATTTTTATAAAACTATTAAAATGAAGAATTGATTAATTATTTACTTATTTATTTTATTAAAAAGACCATTTAAGATATTTTATCTCGTTCCTTGTATAAAGTTTGCATAATTTAGGTTCGTATTTATAATCAAATATCAATTTTAGACAAAGAAGATATTATGTGCAAACTTTACGTTAACACAAAAGAGTTTCACGCAATAAATAAAATACAATATGTTTTGTGCATTTTCACAAACACACGAGAGGTGTTATATAATTTATCCAAAATTATTTCTCTTGCGTTCAAGCTAATTATGTCTAATTATGTCATTTTATTTAGGTACAATTAAAATATATAAATATATATATATATAAAGTAAGATAGGTAAAATTTAAAATGAGCTATTATAAAAATTTTATTAAAGAATTGAATAAAAAAAAAATATAACGTAATAACTTAAAAATATAATAAATTTTTTTATAATAAATAAATTAGGAATAAATTTAACTTGACATTCAAAAGAAAATCTAATATAATTACAAAGGACGGAAGAGTATTATTATTATTACTCCCTCCATCCTACATACCGTGTCTGCTACACTGTAGATACGGTATTTTATGAGGGGTGTAATTAGTAGATAATTAAGAATGTATTAGTGAAAATAATTATCTATAATATAAAAAATTATAAATTAAGATTAAGATAACTAATTAGTTTAATTAAAATTAAATAAATAAAAAATAAAAAATAAAAAGTTTAAAATGAGATTAAAGTGTATAATTATTTTTCAAAAAATAAAAGTGACATGGAATGTGAGACGGACAGAAACAGCAACGTGAACATGATATGTGGGACGGAGGGAATATTATTTTAGAGTTTTTTCAATTCCTATTAATTATTTTTTTAGTATATATATATATATATATATTGTTTCTTTGTGTTTTGGTTAACTGTGTTCTCGTGATTATGTGTTTTTTAAATAATAAAAATTTTAATTGATTGATGTAATACACGTGAGTACTTGATAATATGTTTATATATATATATATACTCCCTCTGTCCACATATAAAGTAAAAATATTTATTTTTGACACGATATTTAAGAAATAATAGTATTTTAATTACAGTGGATAGTTAAAAGTAGTGTAATGATATTTTTGCCCTTACTTTTTGGTATAAAAGTAATGATGTGATGTAAAGTAAAGGGTATTTGTGGAAAAAAAATGATGTATTTAATGAAATGTTTACTTTGTAATTGAACGTCCAAAATAGAAATATGTATACTTTCTAACCGGAAGGAGGGAATATATTTTATTTTTTTTGTATGAAATACCCCATTCGTCTCAATTTAAAATACTATTTTTATTATTTTCGTTCGTACTATTTCAAAATATTCATTTTCTTTAGTAAAAACAATCATACATTCATACCAAAATACTGTTAACTTTTATTTAAAGTTAAAACATATCATTGTACATATACTTACTTTTTATATTAAAAAAATGTTAAAATATCTAACTAATAAAATATTATTATTTTTTAATCTACTGTAAAATTCCGAAAAACCCTTTTAACAAACGACGGAGAGAATATAGTAAACAAGAAATAGATGTATAATGTGACATTGTTGGAAAAAATGATTTAATTATTATAAATAGTAAAAAGAAAATACAATCAAACAGACTGGATCACAGGTTGAATAATTATATTGAGCATCCATGTTTAATAGTACTTAGAAATGAATTATTTTAATTTTTATAATTAAAATGTATCATTAATATAATTACAATAATTTATTTTAATGACTTTCGGCAACGTGTTGTATGATTAATTTCAGCATGTGATCCTCTGCCAAACAAATAGATACCTATATTATTTTGCACATAAAAAAATGGTTTTATCTGGTTTTTTAAAAATAATAATTCCTCCATCCAAAAGAGACGGCTTATCAGGAATTGACACGAGAATTAAAGAATAATAGTATTTAATTAAAAATTGATATAAAATAGAATCTAAAATACTAAAATATTCTTACTTTTTGAAGAATTTTTATAAATAGTTTAGAGTAATAATTAGGGATAGTTTGGAAAAGTAGAAATAATTTTGTTATAAAATAGGGACCACAGTTACTATATAAGGAAACGAGACAATTGTTTTGGAACGAACGAAAATGCAAAAACAAGACAACTCTTTTGGGCGGAGGGAATAAGATTTATAAAAATAATAAAAAGAAAATTAATATACTCCCTTGGTCCCATATCTATATATCTATTTGTTTTTTGCACGAAATTTTAGAAATATTAGTATTATATTGAGATAAAGTAGAAATAAAGGTAAAAAAAATTAAATTAACCCTATTAGTACTGTATGATATAAAAGTAATGACATCTATGTAATATATTCTAAATTGAAAGAGTATTTGTAATGTTAGGTAGATAGTACAATTACTAAAAAAAATAAATTATTTGTCCAAAATAAAAAAAAAAATAGATATATTGTTAATGGACGGAAAGACTGTCAGGTTTAAAGATTTATATGATTTTAATTTTCAAACCATAATTAATAATTAAGGCCGATGATTCTTAATAAATTATTTTTTATTTTATTTTATAAAATATTAAATTAAAATATTATTTTAATTAAAATTCAAATAAATAATCCAAACTTAAACCAAAATAACAAAACCCTAAACTTGCGGAATATTTTAACGATAGAAAATTCAAATTGTGTGCAAGCACATGGCTCCATGTACGTTTTGTGTATTATTAATATTTCATGTAAATTATTTCATCGGTTGGTGTGATTTTTCCCGGAAAAAAATCCAAATAATTGAAATCTTATTATTATTATTATTATTATTATTATTATTATTTCAATCTGCCTCACTTGATTTGTTTTACTTTAGCTATGTATTGAATTTTACAGTTGTGTAATTAATAAATAATTAAAAATTCTATTAATAAAAATAATTATAATTTAATAAAAAATAATTATAAATTAAGATCAAAATGAGTAATTAGTTTAATTAAAATAAAATAAAATTATATATTATATATTTTAAAATTGATTAAAATATATAATTATATTTTCAAAAAAAAAATAACAAATTATCTAGGACGAACGAAAATAGAAAGAAATGACAAATTAAGTGGGATGAATGAGTATTATTTAAACTTCTTTTACAGTTTGTTACATGCTTATTAAATACTCCATCAATCCCGCTATGGATGAATTCTTTTATTAGAGACACGGATTTTTTTAGGCAGTGTATAAGTTATTAATAATAAATTATTATATTAGTTTATTATTTTTTATATTAATAATATTATTAGTATTTTAAAATATTTTAAGATTATATCTCGAAAAAATATATGCAATATGGATATCATTTTGTAGATAATAAAATTTTATATAACCATAAATTAGTTTTATAAAAAATAACGAGTTTTAAATATAGATAAAAAAAAATTATGTTAATTGAGGAGAGAGATAGAAATAAAGGGGTTTTGAGTGGGTCCTATAGGTAAAATGTTAGAAGTTTAATTAAATTGATTTATATTTGTTAAATATATTTAAAATTGATAAAGTTACCAAAAATAAAAAGGGGTCATATTTTGTGGACGTATTAAAAGGAAAAATGGATCATTTGTGACGGGACGGAGAGAGTACATTGTTATCAAATTGCCATTGGAAACTAAACGAAATGGATTTTTTGGATTAAAGGTGTTAGATAAAGTAGGCGACTCGCCTAAAAGTTTAAATTATTATGATATCGTATCACTTATTTATTTATCTACACACGGGGTCAACCAATACCCTCCCTCACGGGCAAGGGGATAAACATCACTAAACAAAATTTCTCTGTGGACGACGACAAATGGGGGACGATGGGACTTAAACTCGAGACTTAAGACTCTGGTACTGTATGAAAATTGTGTTGAATATTGTCCTACATTGAAATTGATATGGTGGGGCTCCTCTGATTTATAAGGGTGAAGGGCTACTCCATGTAGTACCAATTGATTTTAAATTGAAAGTATTAATTTCTTTTTAATATAGTATCAGAGTCATGATGCGTATTGATCCTGTATGAATTTGTGAGATTATCATCTAGGAGGGGGTGTTGAATATTATCTTACATCAGCACTCCCCTAGTCTATAAAGATGAAGAATTATTCCACTTAGAACCAATTGATTTTAAAGAAAGTCCGAATACCCTCTTCACAGAGGGTTTGTAAATAGAAATTTTGTTAATTAAAATATGTTTTTTGGTAATATATATTTATGTTTTACGATGATTTCTTGAAAAAAAAAAAAGTAAAAATAGATTAATAGCATGAAAGCAAAGCCAAAATTCCAAACAAAAAGAAAATAATTACTAATGGACCATCTTGATCCAAAAATTGGTAAATAAAAAGTAAGTTCTTTTTAAATTTAATTTCAATGTTCCCCATAACTATCTTGATTTATATAAAAATATACTTCTTAGGTCTCAGTTCACAATGACATTTCTGCATATCTCATATTTTATATTATTTTTTATATAGGCTATATATTTTTATCTCATTTTAAAAATCTTATTTTATAATTTTTTTATTTTAATTAAACTAATTAATTATTTTAATTTTAATATATATTATATTATTATACAATAATTAATTTTATTCATATATTCTTAATTATTTACCAATTATATTTTTTATAAAATGTCATGTCTATAGTAACTTGGATACAGTAGTTTGGACTAAAAGAATACTATTATTTTCTTACAAAATATTATTTTATCCGTCTCACCTTATTTGTCCATTATTTTTATTTTTTTCAATTCTATCTTATTTGTCTTTTCATTTCTTACAAAAAAATAATTATCTATTTTAATTATATTTTAAATTGTATAATTATTAATTTATTTTAATTTTAGTTAAATTATTTAGATATAAAAGGTGGGGCAAAAAGGAGTATATAAAAGCTACTATTGAAGAACAAAAGATGTGGATGTGGAAAAATCAGTTTTCCTCCGGGTAATTAATGCTGGAGGGATTTTGAAGTTCCAATTTACAACTTAAAATTCTAGAAGCATCTTGGTGCATTCAATTGTTATCGTATCATAGTTTTACGTGATTTTAAGTTCGACCGAAAATTTACTCAGCGTACATTTTTAAGCAGCGATTGCGAATTTCACGTTATTAAAATTATATATATGAATTTTCACGTCATTAAATATATATATATATATATATATACAGGGGGAGAAGAATGACAATAGCCACAAAGTTAAGACATCCAAAATAAAAATTAGTCAATAGAGGTCGAGGTCTTGTGGTCGTGCTTTTTTTTTTTTTTTTTTTAATCGTGCTTTTGTTAGAATGTAACTTGCTTGATATTTAGGGTGTATTTGTTTGGGGGATTGAATTTTAAATACACTATTCATTCTATTTTTTTTCACACAAAAACATCAAATAGAATAATACCTATTTTTTATTTTTTATATTATATTAAAAATCAATTTTACATTCAAAATATCACATCAACATCTATTTATATCACATCATACGACTATTCAAATTCAAAATTTTTACTATTCAGATCTTGACTCAAAATTCAAACCCCAAACAAACACACCCTATTGAAATGTCTTGAACTGGGATCGAGATGAAGTCCTTGTTTATTGGCCGAACCGAACAAACAAGTACTTACTCGGTCCAAATCCAATGGAACATATATATTTGGTTTTTTTGGGATATTAAAAATAATAGTATTTTCTTGATAAGTAAAATATCTAAAAATAATTTAACAAATCTATGTTTGTACATTATATATACTATATTTTGTAATTTATATAAAAGTTATAAAAATAAAAATGATAAAATATATATTTTAAGATTGAACGGATAAATAATTCTTTTGTAATTTATATTAAAGTTATAGAAATAAAAGTGACATGATATATATTTTGGGATTGAACGGATAAGTATTATTTTGCCTATATTTATTCTATGATAGTCTCGGGCATGGATTCAAATTTTCGATTCCTTCAGGTTTTGTTTATTACGTCTTATGTGACTTGATTTATAGAGTCTCATTTGAAAGTTATTAAATTCGGCCAAAACTTTAACCAAGACGCATTCGAATAGAAACGGTGGTAAAACTTTAGCATATATAATTATATATGAAAATCACTACAGTAATTATAACTAATATATACCTCCATCGAATGCACCTAGATTAATCTTAGTAATAATAATAATAATTATTATTATTATTATAATAATTCAAAAAAAAAAAAGACATGAAAATAGAGATGTAGAGAAAGTCAAAGCCTTATATATATTGAATGAAGCAAAGTCGCATATATAGTCGAAGCAAAGGGTAAAAATTACAGAATTTAATTCATTGACGACGACATTCTTTAACCTTAAAATCTTACAATACATACGAGGAATTGATCCATAAATAGATGCTCGAAAACCCGAAGATTATCGATCGATCCAACCATGTTCAAGACATGTCGTCTAACCCGCCACAGCATTTGGCGGGAAAACCTTTTGGATGAAGTCCAAGAACCTCTCCGAGTAGAACATCGGGTCGACAGCCGAGATCGAGACCGAGTCGAATTGCATCGATTTCACCGTGTGCTCGATCTTCTTACTCATGTTGTACTCTTGCAGGATGTCGATGATGCCCAAGTACAAGACAACATCGTACACCTCGTGAAACATCTGTGTCCCATCGTCTCCCGGAATATGCTCCGCTCTCGCCGGCATGTTCACTCCCAATTGGATTTGTAGCCTGTCGAACAAAACTAAACGTTAACGAAAACGACGGAAAAAAATTACGGTTGTATTCTTTTGTGGATTTTTTTATACATACTTTTAGTATTCAGATTCTTTTTTTCTCTTCAAAAATATCAGATCAAACAATTAGTTTTCTTTTTTATACTTCTTCCGTCCCTTAACAAACTATCATTTTTCTATTTTGGTCCGTCCAATGACAAAGTATCAATTTCCTTTTTAGTAACTGTACTATCTACCTAACATTACAAATACCTTTACAACTTATAATATATTACACAAATATCATTATCTTTATATCACACAATACTAATAAGGTTATTTTAGTCATTTCTATTTTATTTGTACTACATATCAATATAATACTAATATACCTTAAACTTCATGCAAAAGTAAACAGATATATACTTAAGGGACGGAAGGAGTATTATACTACAATCTTTAAAACATCGCATCAACCTCTATTTATATCACATCAAATAACTATTCAAATTCAAATTTTTACTATTCAAAAATCCAAATCCACAAACATTGTTTCGTGGTCGTTTTTCATTACCTTGCCGTGCCGGGGAGGAGAAGGTCGACTTCCTCGTCGCCAGTCGAAGACGATGCTCGTAGCCGGCTGCCTCGAATATGCGGGCCAACGACGAGACTGTTGTCGTCGGAGCCTCGTGGCGCCAAAACGAGGCCTTGTGGAGCTATCTCGTCCTCCATCGACTCTTTTAAAAAATTTCAAAGATCAGCCATTGTTATTACATCGTCAACATATTATCGTAGATGGATTTCGACAGAAGAAGGAGAACAAACTCACCGTCTTCAGCGACGATCCCGAGTCCTTCCACCGACATTCGCTGGCTGTACGACATTAAAGATCGAAGGTGTTGAGGCGCGCGGTAATGAACTCCTAACAAGAGACTGTAGTCCATAATGTTCTCCGACTCCAAGAATTTGCTGTCGATTTCAATCTGCCTGCGTGTTCGGGCGTTAAGTTTTTCGTCAGGGACGAAATATTTGTCGACGAAATAATCCACACTTACTCTAATAAGGCGTCGCGCCAAGATGGCTCCAAGTAAAAACAGTAGTTCAAGTCGAGATCTTTGAGAATTGTGTTCTCGTCGATCTCAACCTTGTCCGCAGACCTTCCCAACGACGAGCCCTTTAGATCGAACCTCCGGTGGATTCTCAATTCTGTGCAGAACATATTCCCCATTACTACAAATCGGAACTGAAAAGAAGCGAGGGATGTTTCAATGTTCGTCGCAGAAGAAAACAGCTTGTCAAGTGAAAAATCGAGTTAACATGTGCATTTTACCTTTTGGCCGCTCGAAGGCTTGATTCGGTGAAGACCGAAAAATTTAGTTATAAGAGTATTGTCATATCTGCGCACGTGACGATGATAGTTTGGGAGCATCCGCAGCAAAACCTACATTCGATTAAAATAGATTAACAAAATCGTCAAAAGCTAAATCTTAGTACGTCAACATTATTAATATTGTTTCTGTCCGCCTCTAAATATCACATTTGAACGTATTTTTACAATTTATTTTTGCAATTTTTTCTTAATGTGTACTACTTTTTTATATAATAATTAATATTCAAATATGAACAAACAAAAAGTAAATAAGAGCCTTAAGCTGGACATAGGTAGTAAGACAATGCATATGAGTCGGTAGGGAGAGGTTACAGTGCTGATTGAGCCAAATTAGCACAACCGCGATTTCTCCAATCAATACATCATAAATAGACAGACAACATATAATTTTATAAAAAATTGTGAGCTATTTGTTGTTATAAAAATTCAGCACAGTAACTATCGCCAAGTCGACATAACAGATTTTATGACAAGAAAAGGCGAACGAACCTTGACTTCCGATTTTCGAAGTGTCTTGATCATAAAACGGTCATCTTGCGACAAGAAGAAGACGCTGCCACTCTTCCCCGGCGACGAAAGCTCTCTAAGAGTATCGTTTCCACATATCGACATCATGTAGTCGGCAGCGTCGATCTTGAACATCTCCCTCAAATTCCTATATCGAAAATCAAACACAAGATACAAAATCGAGCAAGATCGAGATCCATCCCGTGTAACATTTCAAACGGATAAAATCTATCGACACATCAAGAATCGAAGGCGACGAACCTAAAGACCATCGGGCAATAATCTTTCCACTTGAAATCCTCCGACTGATGGGGCGGCGTCAACTGCGACCCCTCCTTCGGAAAGCTCATCCAAAAGCTCGCGCGGGGGCCAAAATCCGTCGCTCTCACTTCTCGTCGCTGTATCGGAGTAATCTTCCCCACGGTGTACCTGATCACATTTGGATAAAACGTCGATATCGATCTACATCAAGATAATCGTAGCGAAAAAACGAGAGAGTAATCCGCATAATTGAAACATCATCCATGCCTGATTCCGAGCTGCAAACTCAGCATCAAATCGTAACTCCGGTGACCTTTTATAATCTGCTCGCCGGGCTTCTTGATCTCCCTCGCGAGTCGCTTCTGCCTCTTCTTCGACCTTCTAGACGACGGTGAGAACCGGTCGCTCAACACAAGCTCGCTAATGAGCACGCCTTGCATGTATTCCCGTTCCAAGATCGGTGTGTTCACGTCTTCCTCGTTGTCGCGCGACTCAAAAGTAGCTTCGGAAACGCTCGACGACCTAACATGCCCGATGACTTTCTCGATCGATATCTCGAGGCTCCACCGTCTTTCCAACGAAACGTTCGATACCTTATCCGACTCGTTCGGACCGACCTTCACGGCGCCGATGTCCATCGACGTCGCGTGATCGATATGCGAGACTTGACTCTGTTTCCGAAGATCAGGAAGTAGCCCTTGTTTCCGAAGCGCGTTAAGGTACAATTGATGCCCGGCCGGAACCTTACTCCCCTTCGGATAAAACGTCCCTTTCCCGTCCTTGACGCCGCACGTCCACGTCCCGACGTAGCAGCCCCCGTCGCTCCACGTATAAACTCCAAACCCGTGCATCATACCGTTCGACCAATTCCCCTCGTACGAGTCGCCGCTAATCCAAGTCAGCGTCCCCTTCCCCGACATCGCGCCGTTCTTCATATTCCCCAAGTAGACGTTCCCGTTCGACCACGTATATTTCCCGGGCCCTTCGGGGCTCCCTTGTATCCATGACCCTTCGAACGAATCGCCGTTTGGATAAACTTGGTACCCTAAACCGTGCTTCAAACTCAATCGCCAACGACCTTTATATATCGTATTATCCGGCCGTGTATACGTCCCCGTCCCATGCATATACCCGCCGGAAAACTCGCCCTCATATGACGCGCCCGACGGCCATTCGAGCTTCCCGTATCCGTGCCGCATCCCGCGTCGCCACTCGCCCACGTACTTGCACCCGTCGGGCCACGCGTAGTCGCCCGACCCCTCGGGTACGTTCCCGAGCATCGATCCATTGTAGGATTCGCCGTTCGGCAGCAAAACTTCCTCCGATCGAAATGCGACGGCCTCCGCGGCGTCCCCGTTCGATTCGGCTCGATCATTCGGCGCCGCGACGTCGACGGATTTCGCCCTGTCGGATAAAGAGAGCGCCCTCTGGATCTTACTAGCAATGGCCGCCGGGCCAGACATGCATAATGTGGTGAAAGAGCTTTCAGTTTCGAACCAAATGGAGACGATAACTGCTTGGATTTTTCACCTTCAGAAAGAACTTGATTGTTAACACACAGATTGGATTTGATGTTCGATTGATTTCTTGCAGAAACAGAATCTATGGAATTCCAGTTATCAGAACGAGATCGAGGGACAAACAAGAAGACGATTTTTTTTTTTTTTTTTGAAAAAAGTGAAGATTCAAAGGAACCTTACGTTTCGATTTCTTCACTTGGTCGTGTCGGCTCGAATTTCTTCACTTCCTTATTGGTTTGCTGCAAAAAAATTCAAAGGGGACAAAGAAATGTTAGTTTATCTATCACGAAAATAATGGTAGTTTATCTGTACCCTTTTACCCATTCGATGCATTGACCTTTTGTCTACAACCAGCCAAGTAAAATGAAGAAATTTTAATGACTGAGATGGGCAAATTTGCCATCTTATTTACTTCCTCCGTCTCCTAACAAAGTATTCAAATATCTTTTGCGTAATTATATTAACATTGAAAATATCTTTATATTTATATTATAAGACACTAATAGAAATATTTTTGTTATTTTCTCTTTATTTGTAATACGATTTGATATAATAATTAATATTTAAAGATCAACACGCAAAAAGTAAATGAATATCTTGTTACAGGATAGAGGGAATATTTCTTTATTATTATTATTATTATTATTATTATTATTATTATTATTATTATTACTACTACTACTTCCTCCGTCCCATATAATATGAGTTTATTCCTGTAGCCACGAGAATTTAAATAAAGTATGATTAGTAAATAATTAAGAAATATATTAATAAAAATATTTATTGTATAGTAAAATAATTATAGATTAAAATTAAGATAACTAAATAATTTAATTAAAATTAAAAAAAATTATGAAATTTAAAATTTAAATTGTGATTAAAGTGTACAGTCATATTTTCGAAAAAGAAAATGACAAATTATGTGGGAGAGACGAAAATAGAAAATAGAGACAAATTATATGGGACGAGAGGAGTATTATTTTATAAGCGTTCGAATCGCGGCCACTATTTTTCGGATGCACTATGCATAGACCCTCCACAAAATTTAATAACTTGCAAATTAAATTTGACAAAACAAGTCACAGTCGAACATTTAAAATTGAAGTTAATATTCTCTCCATCAACAAATTACCATTTTATTTGTCATTTCATATTTAAAATAATAAAATTTAATTAATTGATAATAATAAATTATGATAGTATTATTTTATTATTTTGATATGATTCAAATAAAAATTTAAATTTGTATTCACCTTGTCTCAGTACAATAATCTTATTTATTATTTTTATTTGTTCCAAACAATAGTCTGAATACTCATATCACCATAAAATTATTCATACTTTTTTTAATTATTATTGTAATCACAAACATCATTATTTTTTATACTAATACACTCCTAAAGGGCACAAAAGTCTTTTACTTATATTTTTTTACTCACTATCAATGTCCAACGCAAATAGGACTATAGATGGAGAAAATATTAAATATTTTAAAAATTATATCTTAGTAAAATATATTTTCTTCGTCCATTTTGAAAGTTTACATTTATTTTTTGTATGTTGTGCTTTAAATATTAATTATTATATCAAAATGTAATACAAATTAAAAAAAAATAGCAAAAATACTTTTATTAGTGAAAGAATGACGTTTATACAAAAAAAAATTACACAAATAAAAAAATATTGCGCAAAAGATAAATATAAATTTATTAAGTGGATGAAAGTAAAATTTGATATGAATATCATGTTATGAAAAATAAAATTTTATATTATAAATAAATAAGATATATATTTATTTATAACAGATATGATTAATTTTCTAAAAAGAAAATAAATTTTAAATATAAAAGTTATAAGTTGCTCTAATATTATGGGTGTGTTGACTGGAGTTTAAATTTTGAGTTGAAATCAGTAAAAAATTTAAATTGAAATAATTATACGATGTGATATAAATAGATATTGACGTGATATTTTGAATATAAAATTAAATTTTAGTATAATATAAAAAGAAAAATGAAAAATAAGTGTTTGATTTGATTTTTTTGAAAAAAAAAAATTTAATAGTAAATAGTAAAAATTGGAAAAAAAATCCCCCAAACAAACAACTCTATATATAATTTTATATTGTATAAAATTAATTAAATAAATTTATATTTTGAATTAATAAATTTTATTAAATATAAAAAGATATCAAATAAAATAAAACAAATTAAAAGAAAAAAAAAATGTCTTTTGTTTTGAGGAGGAACAGTGTTTGGTTCGGACAGACTGAAAAACAAGACATGGAAGTACTGTATGCATGTGTGTTTCGTGGTTCACCAACACTAACAAACAGGCCCCACATAACTTTCTAAATTCTATGAACAACTGTAAGACAACAAAACATACGACATTGTAGTAGGGTCATATTTAATTTTTATGCGACTTTTTCTTAATATTAAAAATATCTTTATATTTATATAATTTTTTTTTATATAAATGTCATTATATTAATATTATAAAATATTAATAGAAATAACTTTGTAATTTTTTTTATTAATTTGTACTACATTTTAATATAATAATTAATATTTAAATATTAATACGTAAAAAATAAATAAGACCCTTAGAGCCAGACGAAGGGAATATAACATATATTAACTTCGTCTGAAAATAATTGTCTCATTTTTTTTTATTTTCTATGTTTTCTTATTTAGTAACTGCGGTTTCCAAAATACAGCAAAACTACTAATTGTTATCACTTTAATCTATTTTTTAACCCTTCATAGATCGAGAGAAATTTGATTATTTACATTTGACTTTATATCATCTTTCAATTTAATATTAGTACTTTTTTAATATTGTGTCTACTCTCAAATAAGATATCTTTTTTGGGCAGAGAGAGCACATTTTATCAATTTACAAAGAAAATTAGCAATTTAATACAAAATATTACTCCCTTCGTCCCAAACATTCTGCAATATTTCCTTTTTGGTATATCCAAACACACTGCAATATTTCTAAAATAGGAAATAATTAATTATACTTAATCTCTATCCCACACTTTATTCTCTCACATCATCCAGATAAAAAAATAAAATATATATTTCTCTCTCTATCACATCACCTATTTCTAAATTATCCTACTTAATACTACCCACCTAAAAACCCGTGTCAAAAATAGTTGCACCTTGTTTGGGACTGAGAGAGTATTGTTTATGTTAATGACACAATTCACCAAAGAACACAGGGTGTGTTTGTTTGAAAGTTTGAATTTTGGTCGAAATTTGAATATTAAAAATTTTAAATTGCAATAGTTATATGATATAATATAAATAGATATTGATGTGGTATATTAAATGTAAAATTAATTTTCAATATAATATAAAAATAAAAAATAAATATTTAATTTGATACTTTTTCAAAAAAATTCTTTAATAATAATAAAAATAAAGAGAATTTGATAGGATAAAATACATTGTGAACACACTCAAAGTATATTTAGGAAAAAAAAAAAAAAAAAAAAACTTGTAAATATTTTGAAAACATACTTAAAAATGAAATAATAGCAAATAAGTTTTGTAAGAGATATGAATATAATAATGCAAATTTTTATTAACTTCATTAAAAAGAAACCCTCCTTCAATGAATTTTTATAAAGATATACTTTCTCGTCCATCCACTATTACCAAAAAAAAACAAAAAAACAAAAAAAAAATTAAATAAATAACATAATTATAATAGATGGAAAAAATATTGTTTTTTATAAAATTATTTATATCAAAATAAAACTAAATACAATAAAAATAAAATAAAAAAATTAACAAAATAGTAGAAGAGACATAGAAAGTTGGAGACATCAAACAAACATGCAAATAGCACTTTTTGTGTTTGTTTGGGGGATTGGATTTTAAATGCATTACTCATTCCATTTTTTCCTCTTAGAAAATATCAAATCAAACACTTATTTTTCATTTTTTATATTATACTAAAAAAATCAATTTTACATTCAAAACATCATGTCAACGTCTATTTATATCACATCATACAAGTATTTCAATTCAAAATTTTTACTATTCAAATCTCAACTCAAAATTCAAATTCAAAACAAACACACCCTAAGGTATAAGGTATATTAAATCACCGTGTTGACTTTGGAATTGGATACTCTTTAATTTAATACGATTAACTCATATAGTATAAGGTATATTATTTTAATAAAAATAAAAAATAAAAAATAAAAAATTATCAATTTTAAAAGGTAAAAAAATCAGAATATATTAAATATTTATATAAAAAATGTTGACAAAAATATAAAAAGCTTCGTAGTTTAAACTTATCATTTTTAATAATAAAATAATTCATATGCATTTATGCATTATTTTGCTAGGACGAAACTTCCTTTGTTCCATTTGAAAAAGACATTTTAGATTTTTGTATTAAATTAAAAAATAATACTCCCTTCGTACCATTGAAAGGTTACCATTTTTCATTTTTGTCCGTCCCAAAACTAGCTTAACATAATACCCTTTCAACTTACAATATATTACACAAATGTCGTTACTTTTATATTACACCATACTAATAGGAATATTTTTATTAGTTAGTAAAAGTGTGTAAAAATTTTAATATTTTTATTCTTATGTAAAAAATAATTTTATGTCTAACAATATATTTTTAATTTAAATAAAAATTAAAAATATATTTGTATTAATATTTGATTATTTTTATATAAAAAATATTATTTTTAATTAGGATTGACAAAAACAGTAAAAAAATATTTTGAATTAAAATACTCATTTTTATATTATCACATAATTTTACATTATTTAAAAAAAAAAATACTTCAAACTAAAAGTTTATTTATAATATCAATATGTTATTATTGAATAAAAATAAAAGATAAAAGGATTTTTTTATTGTAAATTATTATTATTATTATTTTTTAATTCCTGGTCATGCAGTAGAATGGTGTTGATATAAAAAACAAAAATAAAAATTTAATGGAATCAAAAAATAATTTTTGCTCTAATAAATAAATATATATATTGTATTTATTTATATTATAAAAAGTTATATTCTCCATTATTATATATATTTAATAAAAATATAACGTTTAGACTATTTAGATATATATATTTTAATCTTTTTAATTATATATATTAATTTTAATTTTAAAAATCCAATAATACTGTGCATAAAAAAATAATAAAAAGTATACTATAATTAATTTCCTAAATTCAATTAATTTAAATACATTATCATGAATTAAAAAGCATATTACTCAGGAAAAACAATTTTTGATCGAATCTATATTTGCTCAATGGATCCAGCTTCTCATGGCAAAAAATAAAAAAAATTAAAAAAAAAAAAAATCATAAACTCATTTTTTGGCAGACTGTTTGAAGAACGCAAAAAAAGCCAAAGCACAGTGCCAATTCCATTTCAAGTTTTCAACACTCAAAAAGAGGCAAAGAAATGATCATAGAACTCAAACAAAACACACAAAAACCTATCAAAAATGGCGAAACAAAAACCAGAACCTCACCGATTCAGACATTATTCACCAAAAACAACACAGATCCAAAACTCAATCCAAATCATTCAACCAACACAGCCGCAAAACTCAAAAACAAAATCAAAATCAAATTCAAACCAACAGCATCCCCAAATCTCCAAATCACTCGCAGCAGATCGAAGCAAACAACCGTAGACAGTAGATTTCGTCATAAATAGGAAACCAAAAATCAAATCAACGAAACGATACGAGAAATCAGAAAATCCACACACATACAAACAAACCTCACCAGCAAAGCAAGTTCGTCCTTTGTTGTAGTCCTCACCGAGCTCGATTCGGTCAAAAATTGCGCAATCCACCTCCACCGGCTCCCGATTCGCGCAATAATTGCGTAATCCGCCGCCGCCCGCTCCCGATTCGACCACAAATTTGGTCGTCCGCCTCGTCCTACAGCAACCAATATCGCAGTACCCTTAGCCCTATCATCATCAGTTTAGGTAATATATATATATATATATAATATCTTCTGAGACCTAATTTTATAATATAAATATCAAGGTGCGTTTGTTTGTATTTAACTTGTTTTTGGATATTTTATATTGTTTTGAATTATATATTTGAAATGCTCTTCCGTTCAATTTCAATTTTCTCTCCTTTTTTTTTTTTTTTTTTAATATTGTATTTAATATTAAAAATATTTTTATATTGCTATAATTTTTTTATAAATATCTTTTTATTAGTATTATAAGACACAAAAAAAATATTTTTATAATTTTTTTTAATTTGTACTATATTTTGATATAATAATTAATATTTAAATATCAACACGTAAAAAGTAAATTATACTTTTAGATAGTATAGCATAATATATCAAATAGGACCAACTCAAAATCCCTCTATTTCTAATTTTCTTATCAATAAACAATTTTTTTATTTATATTGCTATGATATTTTTTAGATTAAATTGCACAAAATTCACTTGTGGTTTCACGAAATTGTGCCAAATTCCCCGTACTTTTAAAATTGCGTCAAACTCCCTTATGGTTTCATAAACTCTGCGTTTAATCCCTCGGCGGTCCTTATTTAACAGTATTTGACCTAAATACACCCAAACTGTGAATAAATTTTAGAATCTTAATTTTTAAACCTCTAAAATTAAAAATATATATTTTTCTTATATTTAGCCTCAAAAAACAGTAAAAATAAACTCTTAAAACCTGATAAAAATAATTATTTTTTAGTATATTTATTATTTTTTTGAGACTAAATATAAGAAAAATGAACATATTTATAATTTTAACGGTTTAGAAATTGAGATTTTAAAATTTATTTGTAATTTCTGCGCATTTAGGTCAAATACTGTTAAATAAGGACCTCCGAGAGGGTTAGACGCAGAGTTTATAAAACCACGAGGGAGTTTGGCGTAGTTTTAGAAGTATAGGGGATTTTGCGCAATTTCATGAAACCACAGGTAGATTTTGTGTAATTTAGCCTTTTTTTTATATATATATATATAAATGTCTTTCTATTAGTATCATAAGACATTAAAAAAAATATTTTTGCAATTTTTCTTAATTTGTACTACATTTTGATATAATAATTAATATTTAAATATGAACCCGTAAAAATAAATGATACTCTTAAATAGTATAACATAATATATTACTTAGGACCAACTCAAAATCCCTCTATTTCTACCTCTTTTCTCAATAAACAAATATTTTTATTTACATTTAAAACTTCTACTTTTTTTATAAAATTAATTTTATCTTAATTATAAATTAATAAATATATATTTTCATTTATTTGTATAATTTAAAATTTTATTGTGTATACTTTATTGAGACATAATATTTAAAATATTTATACATATATTTTAAATTTATTTTAATCATATATATTATTCATATAAAAATATTAATAAAATAATACTTCATCAGTCCAATTTATATTGTTCTAAAGTATATTTGCACGGTTTTTTAGGTAGTTGTCTTTTTGTTATGAATTGACAAATTTGTCTTTAATTGTACAGTAGAGATTAAAAGTAATAAATGAATGAAGAGTAAAAACATAAAATTTGTATTTAAAAAAAAGAAATAAGACAATAGTTGTTGGACGTCCCAAATAGAAAAGTCGAATATTAATTTATGGACGAAAGGAGTATTATAATTTAATATTATTAACTAACTAAACTTTTTTACTTTATCATTTGATTTAAAACGGAGGAAATATAATTTTTTTTTAAAAAAAAAAATTAGTGTTTATTTTAATAGTATTAATTTATTTTTAACTGTGATCATATTTATTTAAACCCTATTGCGGACAAAACTTGCCGTTACCACTTGAAATATAAAATTAAAATAAACGTTGGATATTGACGCGATTTTGGTCGGCTTTGAACGAGAATGACATCCTCAATAATAATAATAATAATAATAATAATAATAATTCATTAAATTGAGCAAATTACGTAATTAGCCATGCAAAAACAAGAGGGTGTTTGGTGGTTACAAATTGGGGGCGTAGGTATTGGCAATATTTTCTTTTTCTTTTAAAAATAAAAAAAAAAAAAAAAATTGGTGAATATTCGATTTAAATTAATAAACGAAATTTAATATAAAAACTAAATTCATTGGTTATTTGGGGTTTATTGGACTTAATGGGTAAATGACTTAATTAGAAGTAGTCTTGTAGGATAATTGACTAGAAAACTTTACTCCTTGTATCATAAAAAAAAATATTATTATTATTATTATTGTCTTTCATGAAAAAATAAATTTGTTTTTTAAACAAAAGTCATACTAGTTTTTAAATCATTTTTTTTCAATTATTTTACTATATAACAGAAAAATAAATAAATAAAAACAAAAATACACATCCCTATCCAAACAAAAAGACTCTGTCTTCCGTAAGGGATGGTCTGGTGGTGCAGGGGTTGGATTTGGGACCCTGAAGTCATGGATTCAAACCCTCAACACCTCAGGTCACCTGCCACACATGGTTCGCTTAGTGTGACTTTTCCGTCGGATCTGATTTGCAGGGTATTAGGTTCAGCCGAAGGTTTCCCCAATGCGCATTTTTGGGTAGCAGCTGCGAATTCCCAAGTCGTCTAAAAAAAAAAAAAGACCATGTTTTTATATGACGGAGAAAATATTAATTTTTTTTCCATTGTTTGTTATATTACACTTTCTCCCTCAAATATTTAAATACGAATTTCAACAAATATGTGTAATAATTATTGTTTTGTTTTTGTCTATTATTAAAAAATAATTAAATAAATGATATATTTTTTTATATAAAAAAAAATAAGAAGATTTTTTATAATAACAATAAAAAGTCTTACATTCCCTCCGTCTCATTCAAAGGTTACTATTTTATATTTTCGTCCGTTTTAAAATGAGGTTACTATTTTCTATTTTAGTAATTGTACTACCTACCTAACATAATAAATACTCTTTCAACTTACATTATATTACACAAATGTCATTACTTTTATATTACATTATACTAATAGGGGTATTATATTTTTATCTTTTTTACTACAATGCAATATAATACTAAATTAAAAAATCTACGTGTAAAATGTCACTTTTCCAACAGGGAGGGAATATTTAAATAACAGAAAAGTAATTTGGTATGGATATAAATATAATTTTATTAATTACCTAACAATGCTTGTTATATAATACTCTTTTCGTCTCGGCCACCGTGTCTTAAGTGTAGGCACGGGGATTTTAGAGGCGATATAATTAATAAATAATAAAAATATATTAGCTAAAATAATATTCGTATTATAAAAATAATTTTATATTAAAATTAAAATAATTAATTAGTCTAATTAAAATAAAAAAATTATAAATTAAACAATTTAAAATGAGATTGAAGTGTATAATTTTTTTCTAAAAAAAAAATAGTTGAATAAGTGGAATAGACAAAAATTTAAAAATGGACATGGTAAATGTGACGAAGGGAGTAATAAAAATGATTGCATTCAATATTGATTTTTAATATTAAAAATTATTTTTATTTATAATATTATGTTTATTTAAATTATATTAGATATGTTATTTACTATTTTGGATTAATTTAATTTTTATATTAGATATAGAAAATTCTGTTCGTAATATAAAAAATAATATTTTATATTGAAATTTTCAGTGAATAAATTGTATATATTACATATTGTGTTAATGTGTATACATATTTTTTTATATATACTTCTTCCGTCCTTTAATAAGGTATCTATTTATTTTTTGGACGATGAACTTTAAATATTAATATTATATTCATACGGAATACAAATTAAAAGAAATAAAAAAAAATTATTAGTATTTTATAATATAAATATAATAATATTTGTATAAAATATCGCACAAATATAATACTCCCTCCGTCCCGCAAGAACGTTGGCATTTGCTTTTTGCACGTAAATTTTTTAATATTAATATTAATATTATATTGGATTGTAATAAAAAAGACAAAAATACCCTTATTAGTATGGTATAATATAAAAGTAATGATATTTGTGTAATATATTATAAGTTGAAAGAATATTTATTATGTGAAATAGGTAGTACAATTACTAAATTAGGAAATGGTAACCTTGTTTTGGGACGGACGAAAATGGAAAATGGTAACATTTCAATGGAACGGAGGGAATAATATTTTTAATGTTAAATCTAATTAACCATAAATCAAATATAAATATTACACTAGTATAGTAATGAAATTTTCACCCATACTTTGTGGTAGTCATCCTCCCATTAGATCTAAACCACTAATAACATTTTCATAACCATTAAAAGAGATCGAATAATTATTAAGAGTGTGTTCATTTAGTATTTTCTTATACATAATTTTTCAAAAGTATTACTTAAATAATATAATTTGTAAATATAAATAATAAAAATATACTCCCTCCGTGCCCAAAAATATAGTCATATTGTTGGACACGAGTTTCAAGAAATATTGATATTATATTGATAGTAGGTAAAATATAAGATAAATGACTTTTTTGCCCTTGTGAGTATATTAGTGTAAAATGTAGTGGCAATTGTGTGATAATAATGAAAAAGTAGGAATAATTTTATAGTGATATAGTAATTTATAGAAATGAGACTATTGTTTTGTGATGGACAAAAGTGGTAAACAAGACTATTGAATTGAGACGGAGGGAGTATAAAATATCAATCTCTATAATATTTTTTTTAATTTTATGCATCTCACAATAAAAATACTTTAAAGTTATAAATACTAAGTGTGTTTGATTATAATTTCCAACTGAAATTAATATTATTCACCTCGCACGGTTTTCAATAAAAATATATTTATATATCTTCAATAAAAATATTATATAAATCAAAACTCAAACCAATACTTAGTTTTCAAATTTACTTCAAACCACTCATATCTGTTTTTATTTTTAATGACCAAATTGTGATTTGATCATCATTATAATCACCATCTTATATTATTATTATTATTATTATTATTTTTATAAC